AAGGAAAGCAAATTTGGTGGTTTTCCACCACTGCCAAGTTGTTCCTAACAAGGACATGGAACCATTATGACAAGTGCTAATGGCCGGAAAAGTCACTATTTAATCACAGTAAAAGCAAAACAGTGAAGGCGACAATTTAAGAAGAAAGTGATAATATATCGGGTTCTACCTTCTTTACTCTATTTATGTTTAATCGCCTACTCTCTGCGATTTATGATATCTTACTTCTATAAATATAAGGGTAGATATTTCTTATGTGATGAACTCTTAAAAGACAGTGAGATGGTGGTTGAATACACTTCAAAACGATGAATTAAGAAGAACTGGCAATAAAACCGGGTTCTGATTTCTATACTCTTCCGAATTTAATTTTTTTTTTATCCTATGTGATTTATGAAATCCAATTTCTACAAATTTAGAGTAGATATGCATTACATGATGATCTCAATAAATGCATGTTGTGATGATTAGGATTAACATATTATTAAAGGTTAGTTTTGTTATTCCTTTTATCAAATGAAAATGATTTGTTGATATACAATCTGATTTGCATGCATGAATAATATGAAATACTTTTTTCAAGATTGTAAGATATGAATTAGGCTGACAGTAATACTTGAAGTATTCTTGAGATCATGGATATAATATATGTAAAGATGAATATATATGTGTTTGATTAGAGAAAGAGATCAAACTGTTTAAAGTGTTATAATAGTTTAGTTGGAAAAACCATTTAGAAAGGGAATTAAAATTCTCGTAATTTTCTACACACATTATGGAGAGTGAAATCTTCGTGATTTTCTACTCCTGCTTCGAGATCAAAATCTGCGTGATTTTTTACTCGTTCTTTGAGATTAAAGTCTTCGTGGCTTTCTACTCATTTGTCGGAAATTAAAGTTTAAGTGACTTTATACTCGTTTTGGAGAATCTTAATGATTTTCTACTCCAATTTATTATTTGTTTTGAAGATTAAAAACTTCACCGTTTATTAAATTTGATTGTGTCACATATTATTCGGTTTGAAGATTAAAAACTTTACCATTTATTAGATCTAGTTGTATCTGAGTAGTAAGAGCAAGAGCAGTCCACAAAGCAGCTGGTTGAAGCATGGCAAGGGGAGAATACTTTGAATGATTGTTGAATGGAAAAACTCAATCGGGAGATGTTTCGGCTTATATTCCTACTAATGTAATTTTCATTACTGATGGACAAATCTTCTTATCTGCCGACCTGTTACTCGGTTTGAAGATTAAAAATTTCATCGTTTAGTAATTCTGGTTCTGTCGTGACACAAAAAGCAGTTCTTGTGGTTGGCTCAATAACGTAATAGGGGCGTCGAATATGAATCTCCTTTTGAATAAATATGTTTGGAATATAAAATTATTCACCAAACGATCGCCTCTTAGTCACCGCAATCTAATGAAATTGCAGAAAGAAAGAACAGAACGTTAAAAGAGACGATGAATACCTAGTTCTGGTTTATCCAAAAACTTGTGGTGGGGGGGGGGGGGGGGGGGGGACGTATGCTTACAGCTAACTGAATACTCATTCGTATTCCCCATAGCAAGACATAATCCATTCCATATGAACAATGTAAAGAAAGAAAATCCAACTTGAAATATTTCCAAGTGTGGGGGGTATTTGGATAAAGTGCAAGTTCTTAAACCCAAAAGGATAAAAATCGGATCGAAAACTGTTGATTCCGTTTTCATAAGATATGCAATAAATAGTAAGGCATATCATTTTCTGATTCTTAAATCAGAAAATCCCGACATTCATATTAATATGGTAATCGCATCAGATAATGCTGAATTCTTTGAGAATATTTATCCGTATAAAAAGGAATGTGAGTCGTCTAGTGAAATATCTAAGCGAACTCATGAAGAAGAAAAGGAAAGTACGTTGAATTAGAAAAATCCAAGACGTAGTAAACGTCAAAGGATAACTACTTCCTTTGGACCGGATTTTCTGACATTCTTGTTGGAAAATGAGCCTCAAACGTTTAAAGAAACATTGTCTTCCTCGAAAGCACAATATTGGAAAGAGGCAGTCAATAATGAGATAGAATCCATATTAAGTAACCATACTTAGGAATTGGTTGATCTTCCTCTAGGAAATAAACCTTTCGTTCTAAGTGAATTTTCATAAAGGGAATGAAAGCTGGTGGTACTATTGATAAATATAAGGTAAGATTAGTTGTCAAATGATTTAGACAACGAGAATGTCTTGATTATTTTGATACATACTCGCCGATAACGAGGATTACATCTACTCGGGTGTTAATAGCGTTAGCCGTCGTGTATGGCCTTAAAATCCATCAGATGGACGTAAAGACAACCTTCTTAAATGGAGATTTGAAGGAAGAAATTTATATGAAATAACCTGAAGGTTCGTGGTTCCTGGAAAAGAAAAGAAGGTGTGTCGACTTGTTAAGTCACTTTACGGACTAAAACAAGCACCCAAATAATGACATGCGAGATTTGACCAAATAATATTGTCTAATGATTTCAAATTTAATGAGTGTAAACAAATATGCTTACGTTAAGAATACTTCAAATCATATAGTCATTATTTGATTATATGTGGATGACATGTTGATGAAATATTTAAAATGTGGGGGCTTTTAGCTTATGCATGAAAAAAGCCAATATTAGACGTAATGTCTAAATGATATAATTTTTGAACCCCACCAATCCTTAGTGGATATTGATATTATAGTCGTTGATTCATTACTTGTTCAGTCATAGTGATGACTAGTGATGAAACTACAAATTCGAAAGTTGTTTACGTGCTTTTCCAGAAATAATTTGTTCTTTCTTGAACATTTATAATGTTTAGCTCTTTTATGAAAGGGTGTCACCTGGAAGGCTGTGACTTTTCATGAAAAGTGCGTTTACATGTTTTGTATAAACATAATCGTTCATGTATTAATACGTTGGTCTATAATGAGGTGAACCAACCGATGAACATGGCCAAAATCCATTCCAAGTTGGATTTGTTTCATGAATGAAGGTGCTATAATTTGCATATTATATAGACGTATGAATAAATAGCATACAAATGCTTGAAAATGGTGGAATGATTGCGAAATGTGTTATATATTAAAAGGTTGTGGCCACAACTGATGCCAACCATTCCAGCTGTTGTTATAATATACTATTACTACATTAAGTGTAGTCAATAATCCGATATGCAATCGAAAGCCGAGACGTATTAGTCTACAACATAAGAAAGTTTGCATTAAACTTTCATGACAATGAAAAGAGTTTTGAAGTATTTGAAATATACTCCAAATTATGCTTTGCACTACAATAAATATCCCGCGATAATAGAGGGGTATAGTGATGCAAATTAGATCACCGGTTCAACCGATTCTAAACAGTCGGTGGAGGAGCAATGTCTTGAAAATCGTCCAAACAAATGTGCATTGACCGCTCTACAGTGGAGGTTGAGTTTATAGCCTTAGACAAGGCCAGTGAAGAAGCTGAACCGCTCCGGAATTTCTTGGAAGATATCTCATTTTGGCCTAAACCTTTGGCACCTATATGTATACACTGTGATAGTCAAGCGGCAATAGGCAGGGCAGGGAGCGTTATGTATAACAGAAAATCTCGTCACATTCGACGGAGACACAATAACGTTAGACAACTACTCTCTAGTGGTGTTATCATGATTGACTACGTAAAGTCAAGAGATAACGTGTCGGATCCACTTCCAAAAGGCCTATCTAGAGATGAAAGATCATCAAAGGGAATGGGGCTAAGGCCTAGGACAAGTCATCATGGCGATAACTCTACCTTGTAGACTGGAGATCCCAAGAGCTAGGTTCAAAGAGATCAAACAAAATTATGAATGACGGTTCAACATTGTCAAATAACTCAACTCATTCTCGTAATGAAGACAATGTTCAGAAATCAAGGTAAAGCATTAAGGCTTTTTGATGAGTCAATAAAGCTTAAAGCTTTTTAATGATTTGCTAAGTCTGGCAGGATATGACCAGATAGTGTGTCTATAGGATTACACGTTTAGAAATCACCTATGTGAGTGTGAAGTGTAAGCCCCTTTAAGGGGAATGAAAGTAAAGGTCCATTCTCTAAGAACTCATGAAACTAGGCGGTGTTCACGGCTGAAACAAACACAACCATGAGAACCAAAGACGGTTAAGGATTGATTGTGTGACTTATGATTGTCTAGGTATACACCAAAGCTCGACGGTTCAAAGATATCAAATCTACCGATTGACCGAGTATATCCGACATAAGTTCACTACTTTAAGTTCAAAGGAAAACCGACTTATCCAGATGCGATTAATCCTTACTTGCGAATTACACAGTATTTTCATGCATGTTTTTACGCATATGTCCATTCCCCATTCATGTGGGGGATTGTTGCGTTTTTTTCTTTAAAGGGTGTGAATGGAAAATGGAAGAGGCACCTTTTGGATTGTACCTCTCCATATCACTTTTCCTTTGTCTATAAATTAGAGGCTTGGCCTCATTTTTCATAAATGGAAAAATCTGAAAACTTCTCCCCTCTTTTCTACATTGTTGCATTATTGTGTCAAATGTGATTTATTCCGTCTGTTGAGTTCGCTGAAGTTCTGTGATTTACAGTGCCGCTATCACAGAATAGTTATTCCGTTCTATCCTGGGAGGAATTAATCCGTATACCTTGGGCAACGTTGAGGGGATTAAATTCCTTAAGGACACATTGTGAATTTAGTGGGCTCGAAATTATTTTACGATTTGTTTGTTGGTCTAACGTTTGTTTTTCTGATTTTGAACACAGAGTAATACCAACATGTTATACACCTTAAAAATCTAATATTTTATCGATATACATAGTGTAATTTTTTGATGAACGGTGGTCAATTGACCACCATTTGGATAATGTAGCTTAGCCCCTAGTCTCAAGAGATAATGATTTTGTCATTGTTTTTTATTTATATTATTGGTGTTGTTGATATATTTGCTACTGCTGTTGCTATTATTGTTGCAGGAAATGAAATGAACAAAGAGAACTCAGAAAAGTTTTGTGGTCAGGATAAGAAGTGAAAGTGATTGATAGAATCTATATCATACAATTGCTGTCTGGATCACTAGATTTTGTCAATTACTTAAATTCGTCAGCTCTTACGAAATGTTTGTCTTCATATATTGGCCACTGATCAATCTGCTAATGACTAACTTTAGGGCACTGTCAATGATATATAAAAGGGACATCTGTTTTATAAACTACACCTACCCTGAGTTCTAAGTTCTATAATTCTCTATCGTTTCAACTTTTCGCCTATGGAGAATCTGAACTCTAAATACTACCACTACTTAGCTATCTTGCTATTTTTCTTTGTCATTTTATTCAAATACTTGCTTCATCCCAGAAAACGTTTGCCACCTAGTCCTCTGTCTCTTCCAATAATTGGCCACCTTTACCTTATCAAGAATTCCCTACACGAGACATTAACTTCCCTATCTACAAAGTATGGCCCTGTTTTGTATCTCCGATTCGGCTGTAGAAATTTGCTTGTTGTGTCTTCTCCATCTGCGGTAGAAGAATGCTTCACCAAAAACGATATCATATTTGCAAATCGACCTCAGAGCATGGCTGGAGATCAGTTTTCCTTCAACTATAAGGCTGTTGTCTGGGCTCCTTATGGTTATCTTTGGAGGGCTCTCCGCCGTCTAACTGTTATTGAGATCTTCTCTTCCAATAGCCTGCAGAAGTCTTCTGCACTGCGGAATGAAGAAATTGGAATTCTTATTCGCTCTTTGTTTAAAGCCAGCACTAATAATGGCAGTAGTGGTGCAAGAGTTAACTTGAGTCATTGGGTTTTTACTTTTGCGTTCAATGTTATGATGAGAACTGGTACCGGAAAACGTAGCGTAAGAGAAGAAGACATGGGAACAGAGAAGGGCAAACAAAGCATTGAGGAGAAAAGGGGATTTTTCTTCGCGACCTTGTTAGTTTTGAACGTGTGTGATTTCATGCCAGTATTGAAATGGTTTGGGTACAAAGGGCTAGAGAAAAGGATGATCTTAGCGCACCAAAAGAGAAATGAATTCTTGAACAGCTTACTGGACGAATTTCGACATAAAAAAATAGCTGGTATTTCAGAATCCAGTACAGATAGTATCAGTGCGAAGAAGACCACGTTGGTTGAGACTCTCTTGTCACTACAAGAATCTGAACCTGAAGTTTACACAGATGATCTAATTAAAAGTGTTCTACTGGTATGTTCCCTCGACTATGGCCAAAAGCTGGCCAAGATTTCCTAATTAGTTTGGATCGTGGATCATGTATATGTTAAATATTTCCTTAGTTTGGATATTTGATGTTATTAAAATTTGCCTTTTCTGTTTGCTACAAACTCCTTATCATAATTTTAGGAAATTAAACTTAGTCGTATACATCTAGTACTGATCACAAAAATGCCTCTAAACTCATAGATAACTTGATTAGACTTGTGCTTTGTTTGAAGATAATTTCTAGCCTAACAAACATGATTTGGTGTTCCAGGTTTTATTTATTGCTGGAACAGAGACAACATCAATGACCATTCAATGGGCGATGCGACTTCTTTTAGCTCATCCTAAGGCATTTACAAAACTGAGAGCTGAGATTGATAGCAAAGTAGGGAATGATCGCTTGCTAAATGAATCAGACATTCCCAAGCTTCCTTATTTACATTGTGTTATAAACGAGACGCTAAGATTGTACCCTCCAGTACCACTTTTGTTGCCTCACTACTCATTAGAAGATTGTACTGTTGGGGGATATGAAGTACCAAAACATACGATCCTAATCGTTAACGCTTGGGCTATCCATAGGGATCCTAAGTTATGGGACGAACCTGAAAAGTTCAAACCAGAGCGATTTGAGGCAATGGAAGGAGAAAAAGAAGGATTCAACTATAAATTAGTAGCATTTGGAATGGGGAGAAGAGCATGCCCTGGAGCTGCTATGGGCTTGCGCACTGTTTCACTGGTATTGGGTTCCCTGATTCAGTGGTTCGATTGGAAAAGTGTGGAAGAAGAAAAGTTGGACGCGTGCTATAATTCTAGAATCACTTTGAACAAAGATAAACCTTTGGAGGCTGTTTGTATTCCACGACAAAATTGTCGTGGCTTCCTTGCCCAGCTATGAGACTATTCGTACAATTTGTTCCTTTGTACGTATGTATAGTGCTTTCTTGAGTCGAAGGTCTATCAGAAATAGTCTCTCTATCTTCCCACAGTAGAGGTGATAAGGACCCTACTTGTAAGATCTCACTGGGTTTGTTGTTGTTGTATGTATGTATAGTGTAAAAATTTACCTTTGTGCTCTAAGGTAATGTGACTAAGTAAAGTTGACTATGTAGAACAAGAGACATTAAATAAAGCTTAAGCTATCATTTGGTGAATGTGAACTTAATCTGTGCCTGGTTTTTATTTGATATTGTTGCATGTGGAACAGCCAGGACTTGAGCAAATGGCAACCCTTAAAATTTGGAGCTTCATACGGTGAAAACGAATAAAATCTCCTTGCTAGTCAGCACAATATATTGTAAGAGCAGAAACTTAAAACTATTAATATCATCATGTGTGTAGATAACGTTAATTAGCATATCTTAGATATCTAAAAGTCAGCTAATTGATTAAATTAGTTCAAAGTAAAGACTCTTTTGTAGCAGCTTAATTAAAGAGCCCGTGTAGATTAATATTCCTCTGTACTTATTTCCGCTTCTGTAATTTCTTTCATATACTGCATTACTTAGTTTTGCAAATATAATCTCTTCTTGAATCTCAACCACTCTTATATTAGAGAACAAAGATAAATAACTTGTTTGTTTGCATTTCAGTTCATGTTCGTCGTTCATAAATCAGAAAAGATATTGCACTCTCAATTGCTTTTCACAGAAATACGCTATTGGAAAACTAGTAGGGGAGTCTTGGAGCAACAGTAAAGTTTGTTTTTATGTGGCCTATAGGTTACGGGTTCAAGTCGTGGTACAACCATTAATACTTGCATTAGGGTACACCATTTACATCATACTCCATAAAGTGTGACCCTTTTTGAGCCCTGCGTGAACGCAAAATATTTTGTACACCGAGCTGCCCTTTGTTAAAGCTAATTGTTTAACGCAAAATGTAAGAGTGCATTTGACGTCTAAAATAAGAGTGTGCATTTGACGTCACGGCTTACTTCAATTTTACTGACCTTATTATAAAAGACAACCCCAAACTCTAATCTAGAGAAATCAAGGCTAAGAAAACAAGCACAGTTTGTTGTCATCAGCCCGTGCAACCTTATCAGGCAGTACGGACCAAAAAAAATAAAAGTCACCATCATCATTTCTTAGCTGAAAAATCCATTAATATGGAAATAGGTTTTCAATTTTGCACTATTGCATTTCTTTGCTCCATATTTTTCATTCTAAAACTGCAAAATGTAACAAAGAAAAAACTTCCTCCAAGTCCACCATCTCTACCAATTATTGGACATCTCCATCTCCTCAAATCCCCTATTCACCAAACTTTTAAATCACTTTCATGCAAATATGGTCCCATTATTTTCCTCCGTTTTGGGACTTGTCCAACTATTGTCATATCCTCTCCTTCAATTGCTGAGCAATGTTTCACAAAAAATGACATTATATTTGCTAATCGACCAAAATCTCTCGTTACTAAACACCTTGGCTATAACCAAACCACCATTGGATTTTCTCCTTACGGTGACCATTGGCGTAATCTCCGCCGCATTGCTAGTAATCAAATCTTCTCCACCGTAAGCCTTAACTACTCCTCCGCCGTCCGTACAGAAGAAGTCCGTTACGTGGTTAAAAAACTAGTCTTGGATTACAAAGGAGGAATTGCCAAGAAAGTGAACTTGAATTTTTTGTTTGAGAAATTAGTGTACGATGTGTTAACTAAGATGGTTGCAGGTAAACGTTGGACTGAGTCAACTCATGAAATGTTCGGTCCAACTATGATTATGACTATTTGTGATTATTTTCCGGTACTTCAGTGGATTGGATTTCAGGGGTTGGAGAAGAATTTGGTGGAAATCAAGAAAACAAGAGATAAATTTCTTCAGAGTCTAATCGATGAATGTCGAAAGAGCAGAGCCTATTCATCTTTGGCTGAGCAGAGAAAGACAATTATTGACGCTTTGTTATGTTTACAAAAAGCCCAGCCTGAATGTTACACTGATGACATTATTAAGGGTGTCATAATGGTACGTATATGCATTATTTTATGCTTTTAATTTTTCGGTTTAATATGAATAGTTTGTATATCATGAATAGGTTAATTAAGAGTCAGCTATATATAACTATATATTGAGGATTTAACTTGCATAGACTGATAATGTAACGATATTTCATATTATCCATATATTTCGTTAGTTCAACATTTTGTATGATGCTTTCATTTTTTTTTTTTTTTTTTTGAAGGTAATGTTCACTGCTGGGACACATACTTCAGCTGTAACAATGGAGTGGGCAATGTCACTGTTATTAAATCATCCAGAGGTAATGAAAAAGGCAAAGCTCGAAATAGACAACCTCGTTGGAGAAGGGCATTTGTTAGAAGAATCGGACATCCTTAAACTACCCTATTTACGTTGTATAATCAATGAGACATTGAGGTTATTTCCGGCTGGACCACTTTTAGTGCCTCATTTTTCATCACAAGATTGTATAATTGAAGGATACCATATTCCTAAAGGTACAATACTATTCGTGAATGTTTGGGAAATTCAAAGGGATCATAAACTTTGGGAAGAACCAAACAAGTTTAAGCCAGAGAGATTTGAAGGAATGGAAGGGGGAATTGAAGGGTGTAAGTTTATACCATTTGGTATGGGGAGAAGGGCTTGTCCTGGTTCTGGTCTTGCTATCAGATTGATTGGGCTTATTTTGGGCTTATTTATTCACTGTTTTGAGTGGCAAAGAATTGGGCCTGAATTAGTGGGCTTGCATGAAAGTTGTGGGCTGATGTTAAACAAGCGAGATCCTTTGGAGGCATTATACAGGCCCAGAGAATCCATGGCCGTATCACTTTCTCAGCTTTGAGAAGAAAACGAAGACGAAAAGAAGAAAAACAAGAAGAGGGGTGCATCCTTATTTTAGGTCAGTAGAAATTCGTAGTTGGGGAGTTAATTGTATATTAAATCTAACTTTGATACGTTTGCTCCATCGTGTCAGGGGAAAAAGACTAATCTTGGTTTAGTGGTTATACAAATGTGAACTCATTAGTTTTGGTAAGCTCACATTGATATCTTTTTGTTGGTTCGTCATTTAGTTTGTACCCACACAAAAAAAGAAGCTATCTCCCAACTAATGGAAATCGAGCTTAAGTTTTCTCCATTCACTGAACAACTAACAATTTTTTTTTAATACATAGCAATGTTTGATTTATCCAATGACTCCAATCCCAGCTCCCTAGATTGGATGTCATTCAGCTTTTCTTTTCTAAATGGAGAATTCTAAATGGAGTATTTGACATAGCAATAAGCTACTCCCCTCAAGGCCTGCATAAAAATTAAAAACTGAAGACGTCTCCTTCAGTCCGTATCTATACGTATTTTTAGTTTGGTAAAATATGAAATATAGTACCAATAGGTCTACTGTTGAATAATTACTCTACGGAATGCTTCTCTCACTATCAATATCAACATTCACGTTATCGTTCGCTTTCTTTTGAAATATAGTTACTGGAAAGATGAATGACAAATACTAATGTTACATTCTAATAATTGTAATTCACTTTACACCTCTTAGATATATAGGCATTCTCTCATTCTTACTTATTCTCCTAATCGGTACAGTTCCTAAAATCATTAATGAGCGTCAGTTGGTGGTCGGCCACCAGTTCTTTTGAACCGTCGCCGTGAATCCCTTAATAGGCCCCTTTTCTCGTTGATTCAATCTTTACTTTCACTTCCTTCTAATCCCTTAAGCTTTTTGCCTCTTTTAAGCTTTTCCGTTCTGCATAATCTCTAGGTTTCATTGTCAACCTTCCCTCAAAATACCAAGCCTTATTCTCTTTTTCTTTCTTTATACAAAAATGGCAAAAACGTCAAAAACTGTTCCTCAAAAGGAAAAAGCTTCTTCATCGCGGCCAGCCTGCGATAAAACACCGATGGAGCCACGTCCTGAGGAGTGTGTTCCCGGGGGGTTGAACTTACTTCCAACTTCAAAGTCGAGAAAACTTCGTCGGTCCCTGGTCGATGCGATCCAATGTCGAGATATATATGCTCGATAACTGAGGGTGACCTTGAGCAGGTGAAGAAACACTACCATTGGGAAGATAAAGAGGTGGTGATTCTAGCCCCCAAAGAAGACATCACTACCCATGTGAAAGGGTTTCTAAGTGTTTACATTTACCCTTTCACGCTGGGCCCTGTCGATCCCGTCATTACCGATTTTTGCCGTCGATATCAAATAACCCTAGGTCAGATCCATCCCTCTTTTTGGCGGATTTTCATTCTGCTCCAATTCTTCGCGAGCAAAGTCGAATGGATGCTTTTCACCCTCGACCACCTCATCAGGTTGTACAGCCCCCGTCTCTATCAAGGCGGGTTAATAAGACTTCAGCGTCGGGCTACCAAGGTGTTGTTCTCGAGCATAGATGAGGACAAAGATCGAGGATGGATGGGCCGATTCGTTCGAGTGAAACTTCCGACCTAATCCCGCCAAGAAGATGCCATTTCTTGAGAAATAGAATATGAAGCGTAAGTACAATCCCACATATAGCCTCCATTTATTGTTTCGTTGCCTTTGCTTCTTCTCACCAACATCCCTTCTATGATGTAGCGGTCTCTTGGATGCCCGGTGCAATTCCTAACCTCAAGAGCTAGGTTCGGAACCTGGCTTCGACCTCTTCGTATGTTGAGCGCTCATGGCGTGATTTGGCAAGGGGCCGATAGGAGGCCAAAAATCATGGTAAGCCTCTTTTCACATATTTGATGATCTTCGCTGAAATGTTTCTTTTCATACTCACTTGATTTCCTTTCATACAGGCTTTGGAGAAAATGCTGTCATGAGGCCCCCATTCGAGGAGGAAGAGGTGTCGCCCCCGGATCTGAAACCTGCGAAGGATAAGAAGAGAAAAAGGGTCTCAACCTCCGAGGACCCAAAGGCTAATAAAAGTAAGGCTTGTAAGTCGAAGAAAGACACGTTGTCCTACCTGCGGAGGTAGTTTAGCGGCTAAAAGAAGAAGAAGAAGAAAACGAGGTCGACGGCTCCGAGCTGGTGGCTCGAGTGAAGAGGAACACCGAGGCCCCAAAGGCCTCTGAGTCGGTGAGGGTTGGAGAAATTCAGCCTCGAACCGAGGAGGTCGCGGAGACCGAAGATACCTCCCGCCGAGATGAGCAGTTGGCGGGTATGTCCGAAGGGGCCGTCTTTGAGGCCCTTCAAAATAAAGA